TTTCTTGATTTGTTGCGGATTGAACCAAGCAAAAGAATTGTTCTGCATTCGCTCGTACGACTGCACCCAAAATTTTTCACAATTTGAAATAAGATCCCGTTCTTCTTTAACGTCGAAATTCAACTTCTATGAGTCGATTCAACAAAGCACTAAAGTTTCAAGACTTCATCAATTTTTCGATTTTTTTTCTTTTTGGGCAATAAAAGCTCTTAAAAATGTCCAGCAGGCCACTACTTTAACAGGACCAATATTTCTTAATGCTTACACAAGAATATTTTCCGTGTGTTAGTTTGCTAAAGAATTTCTAGGAAAATGTTAATACTTACCATAATCACAATGATAAGAGAGTAAATGAATAATATCAAATATAAGGAAAGTTTTTACTCTCTCTCTAAGTATGGAAAAATTTGATTATAATGCAATTAAATTAATATTGCTTTACTAGGTAAATTAAACAGTACATTTATAAATTTATTCGGTCAAACAATGGCCCCATGTTGTCACTCATAATCAACTGGTTATTATAAATGGCCATAAAACGTTGAAATTTGATTTGTGTAACATGGTACAATTTTCTAATGGTAAACTTTAGGCTTTATTTCGTATGAAGACTTGCCGACTATTTCAGCCCACCCTTTTCAACTGAATAAAAGTTGCCACGCCATCCAAACACACTATTTATTTTGGATCTTGGCTATATATGGTTAATTAATCAATCTTGTTAGTGGTACACAACCGTGTACTTAAGGGTGTACCTAATGGACACCCGGTGCCTCGACATTGGCCGAGGCTCCGGCCATGTCGGGGCCCACAAGCGCCTCGACCAATACCAAGGCATCGGGTGTACATTAGGTACACCCTTAAGTACACGATTATGTACCTTTAGCATAATTCTTAATTAATTAATGGTGGCTTAGGTATTGATTGGACTTTTATATTTTGAGTGACGTTGATTAATCTATTATATATTTGTGAAAATAACGTGTATATTGTCACTATGTTTGATATAAATACAAAAATATGTATTAAATTAAACTCTTACATGGATTGAATTCACTATCCATCAAAACTTAAACTTGTATTCATTCTTATGTCTAATAGTTAGACTTAAATTTACAATATTTTATAAATCATTTTGTTTAATAATTTACACTACACACACATGGGGGCGAAAAAAGGGAAAAGAGGGATGGGGTTTCTCTCACTTTTGGGTCTATAAAAAGTAGAATTTATGCTTGTGGAAATTATCGAGAATAAGAAGAAGAGAAATTTGTGCAAGAAAATTAGGGATGGGCTCTCAAACCTTTGAATTATTATGGTTTTCTATCTCAACCTTCAAAAGTAAGATTCTAAATCCCCAACCTATTTAAATATATGAAATTGTAGATTATGAAATAGAATGTCAATGTGGATATTGAAATTGTATATAGATTTTGCTGTAACTTAAAATTGTAGTCAAAAACCGTAAAACTACTAAACATCTAGTTTTAAGTCACGCGAGATTTTAACTTTCACATTACGAACATCATTTCTGAAAGTAAAGGATCAAAAACCACACTACCTGGAAGTGGATCCTGAAAATTTTAAAAGGGGGGTGTTTTGCAATTTACCCCTTCTCCAGTAAGCTTTTAAAATAAAATAAAATATTTTAAATCACGGAGTTGAAGATCAATATTATGATTAATCTTTCAAATGAATGAAATTAAGGAAGAATAATTTAGAAAATTAAGGGAGAATAATTTAGAATGACCAAAAGTCAAATTCAGCAACAAAACTTTGGGGGAAAAGGGGAAGACAAGGTAAGGTATGCATTTGTAAAAAATTGGCATCGTTGATAATGGTATTCATATTTTCTCTCTTATTTGGTTTAAGAAATAGACTTGTAAAGGTTACATTTTGTGACGGATTATGCTGCTTGTATATAAAAATGGTATATGAGAGATTACATAAAATGACTGTATTTTAAATTGACAAATGATAAAGCGAAATATGATATTATGTAACATATTATGTAAAACTTAATTTATATGTAGCAAGATGACTTCTATTCGTAATAATAAAAGATGCAAAATAAGTCTCTCTCTCTCTCTCTCTCTCTCTCTCTTAATGATGGCTAAATATATCTCATAGAGAAGTAAAAAATTGAGATTATTGATTGATTTCCCCTATATCCTTTATATTATTATTTAAAGAATTTGATTTTTGAGATTGGTAATATGTTTCTTCTTTTGTTGCAAAGTTTCTTGAAATTTGAATCACATCAATAATCAGATGTCAACGTTTAATAATCTTGGATGTGCTGCCTAAATCACACGTTTAATTACCAGTTGATTATATTTTAATTAATTAAGCTATTAGTGCGATTTAGAAATGAGAAATTATATTTAGTTGACCGCTTAATACTAGGTTTTCGGTGCGAGTAATCAATCAGTTTATAGTTTTTGGAGCTCAACTATATTCTAATTAATCAAATTTCAAGGCTTAGGTCAATTAATTAATCATATAGTCCCTGCCCACACTTCAGCTTGCTAACTCCAGCTGCACATTAATTGCATTTCGCAAGTGATTTACCTAAAAAGATGAAGAGGGAGAAGAGTTATGGGGGAAGCAGGGAATCAGAACTCAAACACGGATTATTGTTCGACAAATTCGGGAATCCAGATTTTATTATGATCTAAAACTTCAGAGTATATTCTCCCATGGATCAAAGCAAAAAAGATAATTCGAATATTTTTTAATATATATTATTATAACATTTACGAGTCTTTGCCTCCTAAACCACATTTAGGAGTCATTCCATGTACTTGTTTGATTTTGATTATTGTGACGTATTTTCCTTTGATTAAAAATTAGTAGGAAAAACTATGAGAAAACGTGAAAAATGATTTCATTTGATAATATGTAGTTAAACATTGTGTCGCAAAAAAGTGATTCTCAAATAATCAAAGTCAAACAAATAATTTATTTAATTTGAGAAAGACTAAAATTTAAAATGCATACAATCAGCAGTTTAGATAGGCATTATTATTTGTCTATTAAATTTTTAAATTTAATTCAAGACGTGGAAAGTTTTAATCTGATGTTACGGGAGAGAGGAATAGTTTATGGAACTTCACAAACGTCAACCCTATGTATATAAGACAATAAATGACGTACCAATTTATCATAAATGATTCGTTCGTCGACCATATAAGGTGAAATTATCTTGTACAACGAGATAAGCAATTTGATTTATTTATATATACATGCATTTTATTTTATGTACAAACTAATGGGGACGGTGCTGCAGGTACAATGTTTGTTTTATAGACACGTGCCATACCGCACATGTACGGGCCTTGGTGTAATTTTTTTTTTTCTCCCATGTGGGGCCGCCCCTATAGTGAGGGGTCGGTAAGACCCTTGTAGGAAATGTCCTGTACACATGGCATTTTCCAACTAATGGAATATTGAAGACTTGGTGATTGTTATGGTTGTTGTTGAAATTCTAACTTTGAATTTGTTAGCTATCTTTTGTTTGAATAGACTCGATTAAGAGAATAATTTATTTCAAATCTTTTAAATTTACTGCTGTATTCTTTGAATAAGAATTTTTTCAAATGCGCAGTAATATTGCAATTTATAAAGAAGATCAAATCCATTGTCAGCAAAAGAAATCTCAGTAAAACCCTGGCCAAGTCAAAAGCTGATTAGACAAGAAGACAAGCGGATGAACCGGTATTCGGATTGTCACAGGACCACGAAGACCAAGCTTCCAGCGTCCCATCATTGGATTAGCGGCCAAGTTTGACCAATAGCCAGTCTTACCATGTGACTTTAGCCATATGAGTTTTGCTACGTGTATGAATTAATTTGACAATTCATGAGTTAACAGACAATTTGACCAGTAATTAGCCAAGATATTTACATCTCATGGATTATCAAACTAGGAGCCTGTTTGGGAGTGATTTTGAGAATTTATTTTTTGATCGTTAGTAGAAAAGTGGGATCCACTTGTGAGAGAAGAAATCAAATATGACGATTGAAATAGTGAAATAACAGTCAAAAAATCAATTTTTTTGGTGAAAAAATCGGGCCCAAACAGGCCCTAGTTGTACAAAATCATTGTACAAGTAGTTAAACTCTAGCTATATATTATCTTAGACTATGCACCTGGTGAACTCTATTATTCAAAAAATATTTTTAGTTCAATTCATTTTTAATTATGGGGTTTTCAAATAAAATAATTTTATAAATAATTCAAAAATTCTTCTCCAAAAAAATCACTTTCTACGAAATCAATTCTAAAAAAGGAGCTCAAATAGTAACAATATATTTTTCTCAAAATAAACCGATATTAATAGTGGGGGCCGAGCATTGCAGCTAACCTCATCGCACCCACCACTGTTTATTTAGCCTCCGTTTGACAATCATTAAAAAGAATTATTTTATTATTATTATTTTTTTTTTTGAGAAAAATGAGTTTTGTAATAGTGATTTTTTTTGGATAATATGTGATAAAAAATAAGAAATTTTTTTTGAGTTTACATGTAAAATATTTTATTATGAAAATGTGAATGAAAATGAGTTTAAAAAAAAATAAAATTGTTCTATTTTAATGGTTGTCAGACAAGGGGCTTACATTACATAGGGTATATTGTCTCAAAGACTTAAAACGTTGAAGTTTATTTCTTCTTCTTCAAGTTGTTCCTTATATGTAAGTTGAGCCCCCAGGGCATATCTCCCAGTGGCAAAGGGGAGGGCGGATAGGGCTCAGCGCGGCAGTGTGCAGAGTTCGATTCCCCGCAAAGGTGGAATTGGCTTTGTTGCAAGCGGGAGTTACCATATGGGTTAACAGCCTTGGTCTATCCATGTGCTCTCCACCCTGGCTCCTGGGAGGCACATCCTGCGATTTACCTCCTCCACGATGGCCCAGGGCAGGGTCGGTGGGGGCCCCTAAGGTTGGGGTTCAACCTTTTTTTTTATGAATATGACAGTGAATGTATTATTTTATGAGTATTCGCAATTCAGCCATTGACATTTTGTGCAAGTGTGCTGTATGAAGCCATTGAGTTTGAATTTCTTTAAACCAGTCAAATAGTGCTGGCTCCTTCTCATTATAAGAATACCCTGCAGTTAACAGAGTAGGAAAAAAAATCTTAGAGGAGAGAGAGTATAACTTTTATAGAACCTACTATGAGAAAATCAGTCACCGGAGGTAAAGTCAAAGAAGAAAATAAAGCAGAAACAAGTTCTGAAGATAAAGGATGTAAAGAAGATGTTCTTCAGGTAGGTATACTTCTTTCTTTTCATCTATGATATGCAGTTATATGAGTTTCGGATTCCATGAATTATAGCAAGAAGAAAATAATATTTTTTAGTATAATTTTCATTGAAGTATGTGAGAATTTTCAGAGAACCATTTCCTAAATTGATCTCATCACACACAAAAAACAACTTGAATTTGATTAATTAGTTGACGATATCACATTCAAGAAAGAACAGTTTCGAGTTTTGGGATTTAAGGGAGAAAAAAGAATTTGCTGGAATTTTCCTTTTGGTGCATATAGATTGAATATACAGTGAGAAAGATACACACACACATACACGTATACATATGTATATATATACATATGTATACATACATGTTGGCATCAGGGAAAGTAGAGGATTGGCTGTGCGGTGACGTAAATATATAAATTGAAACAAAGAAAATACACGACTAATAACTTCAGAGAGTGAATTTAAAAGTCATTCACTAGTAAATAGCTATAAAACAGCTTTGCAGGCAGCTCTTCTACACCATTGACCTTTAATTAACTAGCAACTGCCAGATTAATTAGAATTTTCAAACATCATATGCAACTTGTTACAACTTAAAAACCTTGCAAGTCCAAATTTATAGCTGCTGAGTAAATAGTTTTTAATTTGAAAATGTCATTCCATTAATACTATTTATTTATACTTATTTTACAATATACAATTAGTTTTGTATTTTTGTTAATACTGTAATGTGAATAAAATCTTTTTGAAACCCTTCAATTCTAGTTATATTTATCAAAGGAAAAGTTTATTTCTAACAAGAAACATTTTTACAGGGACCTATTTTAACTAAGATTGAGATAACATCAGCTGAAACTGACTCAATGGCATCTTCTTCTGCCAAAAAGGATCAGGTTAGCTCCTTATCTTTCTCTTTTGAAACGATATATAGAAATAACGTCTCGAATTTTAAGGGAAATTATGAAGAAAAAATCTTGTTTAAAACTTCTGTGTATCTATCTATATGAGAGATATTTCAAGATGAATATTTCATGAACTTGAAATGATATTGTGTGGATTAATTGCAGGATGATCATCAACTTGAATTGGCAAAAGCCGAGATCGGTGAAGTGATTGGAGAAAATCAAAGGCTAAGGATGTGTTTAGATCGAATTCTAAAGGATTATCGGAACCTTCAAATGCAATACCAAGATGTTGTTCGACAAGATGCTGCTAAAAAATCAACAAGTTCAGTTCAAGATACAGAAGAAGAATCTGCAGAACTTATCTCCCTCAGCCTGGGAATGAGTTCAAGTGACCACTTTGCAAAAAGAGATGGGTTCTCTAAAATGTCAAAAAAAGAAAAAGTGGGTGAAAAATTAGAGAAACAAGGAATCTTGGATCTGGGAATGGACTGCAAACTTGAAGTACCACCAGTCGAACCTTCTCCGGTTGTTAGCCCAGGGACTAGCGTAGAAGGAATCAAGGAAGAAACTGCAGGTGAGAATTTTCCACCCCATAGCATGCAGAAGAGTATTGTTAGAAATGGTGATGATGAACTCTCACAGCAGAACCCCGCTAAAAGAGCTAGGGTATCAGTTCGAGTCAGATGTGACACCCCAACAGTAAGATTATTACATCTGTATTATCTTGAAATTGGTTTAATTTTCTTGTTCAATTAAATACATAAGCTGAATTATAATGTGATATATTTTTGGTGTGATTGCATAGATGAATGATGGATGTCAATGGAGGAAATATGGGCAGAAGATTGCAAAAGGAAACCCTTGCCCTCGAGCATATTATCGTTGCACTGTTGCACCGTCCTGCCCAGTTAGAAAGCAGGTAACATTATACTCCATAAAAATGTTTGATCCCGATTAAACATCATGGTATACTCTTGTCACACTTTATAAGTTAGACTGAATTGTGCACAAAAAAATGATGGGTAGAAGTTGTGATAGAATATCACTTTTCACTCAAATAAACAATTTTCATAAATCTCACAACATATATTTCATATAATAGAGCTATTTTCTCTCAACAACTCTCTTATACAGACCTTACAATTTATTTTCTACCCAATAGTTTACAATAAAAATAATACATCTATTTATAAGGAAAAAACTAACAAGAGTTCAAGTTGATCAAGTAAGTTTCCTTAACCTCCTTTAGTAAAAGAAGTCAATTGAGGCAAGTAACTTTATCCCATATCTTTTGATAGAAGGAGAGTTCAAGATATTCAAGTAACTTCTACCTCCTTTAGAAGAAGAGTTCAAAATGGTTACGTAACTTTTTTAAAAACTCTCGGCCAATGACAAGCTTTTCCTTCACCGTCTAAAACTCTTCTATCCAATAAAATTTTTTGCTTAATCAAGTTACATTTTGACTAAGTCATTATCTTGATATCTTTGAACTTCGTTTTATTTCTAGAGTTCATTTGGTCAAGTTTACATTACTTTCAACAAAAAAATACTTTAGAATGTGCAAGTATATGCACGTTTTCTCACTACATTCTTGTTCTTGAACTCGAAGGTGCAAAGATGTGCAGATGACATGTCCCTCTTGGTCACTACATATGAAGGAACACATAATCATCCACTTTCTGTCTCCGCCACTGCCATGGCTTCCACCACTTCTGCAGCTGCCTCCATGCTAATGTCCGACTCATCAACCTCGGGATCATCAGGTGCAACATCATCGTCTCCTCTTACCACAAACTGTGTGAATCTCAATGGACACAATTTCCATCTCTCTGATAACTCGAGATCAAAGCCATTTTACCCACCAAATTCATCGCATTCATCCTCCACTTCCTATCCAACTCTCACTCTTGATCTCACTTCAAACACAGCCTCAGCTCGACTAGGCAACTTTCCTCCAAGGTATTCTACCACAAATCTCAACTTCAGTTCTTTGGAATCAAATGCTTTACCAATCTCTTGGAGTAATGGGTTTCTTAGTTATGGAAATCCACCATACAACAAAAACCAAACTGGTCCATTGAGCTTTGGATCACATCCTCAAGAAATCCTATACCAATCTTACTTGCAAAAGAATCTAAATCCTACACAACAGTCTCTTCCACCAGATACTATTGCAGCTGCCACAAAAGCAATTACTTCAGACCCAAGTTTCCAATCTGCATTAGCAGCTGCTCTTACATCAATCATTGGCTCTGGTGGTGCTACTTCCAGTACTGCAGGAAATCAAACTGTAGGTGATAAGTCCAGCCAAAATATAAAGTCCAGTACAGAACCTAATTTTCCTATTCTTTCCAGCTTTCCATCAACTTCAAATGCCAACAAATGTGCTCCAAGTTTTATGAACAAATCCCCACCCTCGTCTAGTTCTTAACCAGCTGGCTTGACGTTTCTTTCGAATTCATTCCCCTTTTCCACCTCGAAGAGCAAATCTAACTCTCCAGGTGACAAATAGGATTCATCACATCATATTAGTACATTGCTTTTTGCATGCTTAACCATTAATTTTTAATTTAATCCACAAAGATAGAGGCTGGTGGAACTCTTAGCACGGCGCAATTTTCGCATGGATTTTTTCTTGTTCTAAATTCATCTGGCAAAGGGATGATGTGAGATGAAGAAAAATTGTGCACACAGACACTGACTGGTGGTAAAGAAACTTGAATAAATGCCAGTATTTTATCTTTATGTGGCCAACTTTTGTTAACAACTGTGGATAGTTTTATGTAATTTGTTGACTTTATGAATTATGTCGTTTGTTTTCTGTTTACTTGTAATTAGGAATATGATAATGATTTCTCTATTGTCAACTAATAAAAACAACCAAGATTTATTGTAAAAGAATTTTTAATATACTCTTATATTTGTTTTCTTGTTTCTTGCCTTAATTAGTCAAATTTCGATGTTGCTAAATACTTGGCCTCTAAAGATAAATTTGAAGGCTGCTTAATGTAATTCTTCACGAGGCAGGAATTTGGGACATTAAAGCCGGACAGTGCTTGAAGAAAACTCCTAGTCTGTGACAATAATATATCTATACCTTACTGTTGAGTTTTGATACCCAATAATCCGAGTGATGACATTAAACCGATGTTGAATAAATTAAGTGGAAATTACATGGGAACAGGTGTTTAAAATTTACAATTCCTATACTAGGTATGAAGTTTACTTGTTCAAATATCAGGTATTAATTTAATTATAAAACCACCCACCCCCATCCGCTCCAACCCCAACCCCAAACCCAAACCCTAATTATTCTGATTTCTTTCTCGCTCTGCACTCTCTTTGTCCTTTCTCTACACTACGTCCTCTCTCTCTTCCTTTTATTGTACACCACCTAATCATCGTCGGCGATGACGTCGCGCCAACGGCCTCCAGCATGACAGCACAATTCGTACGCGCGATCTGAGTTCGTACAGCACGACAAGACCCAGCCATTTGTCATCCAATTTTCGACTTGTACCTTTGACGCCCAGTTCGCAAGACGATCTAAGTGTTGTAGTGAAGATCTAAGTGGCGGTTTTTGTGGTGTTGGTAGTGAGGCGGTGGTTTGACCATTGAGGTGGGGACGGCGATTGTGGTGGTGTAGTGGTTGGTTTCTACGATTGTATGTTTTTGTTGAGTTTTGATAGTCCCGATCTGTGGAAATGTGGTCACAAACTGGTGCTAGAAATTTGGGACAAGTCTGTGTAGTTGATTGTGGTGGTGCAAGCTAGATGGCTGCGTCATGGAGGTGGTGGTAGTAGTGCAGGTTGTGAGGTATTAGTGATATTGGTGGTTGTCTAATGGTGGTGGTGTAATGGTAGTGGTGCAGGTTGTTGTTAGTGGTGGCGAAGGCGACTGTGGTGTTGGCAGTAGCGGTGCGTTTCTATTTGTGCTGGAGGTGGTTGTGGTAGTGGTGGGGTGAGGGTGGTCGCAAGTAGTCGTAATGGCAGTGGCGATGATGGTGTTAGCGATGTTGTGGTGGGGTGTGTAGTGCTTGTGACAAAGTATTGACGGTGGATCGGGATCGGGGTTGGGTATTTGATGTGTGTGACTAAATATTTGGTTCTATGACTAATTATTAAACTATGACCTTAAAATTTGATATCTGTGACCAACAAATTTGAAAATATGTGACTGATAGATTAATTGTAACTTATAATTTTTTTGATTTAACCAATGAAATAAACTGTGATCTATAAATTTTTTGATTTATGATGTTGACATAATTCGTGACCAAATAATTTGATAATATGTGACCAATAAATAAATTGTGGCCTATAATTATGTTTATGTGACCATTAATAATATAATTGTGATTTTATTATATTTAATTAATGAATGTTTTTAATTAATTACCTCATACCCGAGTTTTGCATTTTTCAAATTATACACTTACCTTGTGATTTGGTGTAAACTAAATTACTGAGTTATAATTTTTCCCATAAATTAAATATCAACACCCAAGATTGATGACCCAATCCTAAAACTATTTGGACCATTGGAAGCAACCTAATTAATTAATGTTGCTCATGACCCGATTTCGACACTCATTGGATGACTTATATATGTTGGCCCACTTAGGGTATTTGTATTGGGCTCGGCCCCATCACCTTAACCTAGCCTAACCTATATAAGTTGGCCTCTTTGTCTTTGGTAAAAAACGTGTGTTTGCCTTTGTATTGAAGAAAGAAAGAGCCCCTGCCTCTTACTTTGTGCACTTGCTTGGCCAGTTTCTTCTTGTTCTTCTCTAGCCTTTGTGGTACTGTTTTTGTGGCTGCATGACACACCCCGCCCCATGTAACACCACTAGATTCGGACGTGGCATGCGCCAATGATAGATACCAACTAAAAATCGGACCCACCATCAAAGCTATTACAAATATAATATATCACTTTTTATACATCATTTTTCTAACAGAATTTCGACATTATCTCCCCTATAAACAGGACTAACCAACCTGTGATCAATTTCACACAAATCCCAAATTATAGCACAACACAATAAATATAAGCTGAAATCTCAACCTTCACCAAGAAATAAAATGAAATATACATACGGATAAAAAATACATACTGAGCTCCATAATTATCTATAAGTGATGCAAAATCACATTTAGACATCAACACGCGTCCCAAACACTGACTACATATTCTATGAAGTGATTCATACTAACAAACTCTGTCGTGTGACTCTGACTTCAAAATCAAGGCTCAACTCCAAAAGATGTCCAGATTCTCAACTGCTGCCTGATAAAGAAAAACATGAAAAAATATATGAGTTGATAGCTCAGTGAGTAGAGAAGTTCAAAATAAATATACTTTTTCATTTATACATTTTTATTGAAAATCAAATTCATATCATTTGATAATTCACAAGCTAACATCATGTAATTATAGCCAAAAAGTGAAATATTCACATAAGGTCATAAAATATCATCTTAAAATCATGATATAATATCAGCAGATAACCATGCTCTAATCTCATCATATCAAACGTGCTGAAAAATCCACAAAAAATGTACTCTCTAACTGAAATATGTAATCTGCCTCTCGTGCTAAGAACATTCGCCACGGGCCTTTGGCCCCTGTGAACGAAAATCGGTCTCAAAGATCTCTCATAATCAATTTTAGAACACGGTCAATGCCCCTCTGTGAACTATATGTACACGATCAAGACCAATGTCAGGTCAAGACCCTTCGTGTAGGATAGAACACGGTCAATACCCCTCTGTGAACTAGAAGAAGTATATAATCATGAGTACTTTTCTGGCCGACCTCAATATTGTATGTCTCATATACCAAACAAATCTCAATATCACATGTCTCATATACCAAGTTACAAATGTACAATAAATAATCCTTAAAATTCCACATGTATCATACTAAAAGAGATTTATATAATAATCATAAAATCGAACACATAATTGTACATACCTTGATAATATATTTAATTTATAAATACTTTAAAAATATTTATATTTTCCACTCACAGAACTATGTACGCCAAAATCAACTCGATTGGTACGCTGCCCCGATATTCGTATCGTCGCTTGAAATATGATATCATTTTTAAATCAATAATTAACTATTTTAAGAAATTTCATTAATTAAATAGACTATACTCAAACTTAATTATTTCACGTTTAGGCGATTTTTAAAGTCCCTTTAATTACTAAAACTAATTTTTTTTTTCATTTTACTGAATTTCATAGTTTATTATACTTAACCCCTTCGACAAAATTAAATTTAATCTAACAATCTAACAACTATAAAATCAAACATAACATTTCAATAAGTAACTTTTTACTTACCTTTCAAAATTGAGGAATTCAAGTCTAATAGGGTAGAACACTTAATTCCTAACACGTTAGCAAATTTTTTTTATTTTTTTTCTTCTCTTCCTCTTTTTTTTCCTTTCTCTTTTCTTCTTTCCCTCTGGTTTGTTTTCTTCGTGTGTGTAATGTGTGTGTTTGCTTTTAATTTGGTTTTGGGTTATGTGTGTCTGTATATATATATATATATATATATATTCAATTGGAATGATTTGTTTTGGGCATCAACTGCCTGCCACTTTTGTCTTTTGTCCCTTTTTTTTTCTTCATTTGATGTTTGACTTTTTTTTTAAAAAACTTAATGTATTACAAAACTCACACAGTTAAAAGAGTTTCGTCCTTGAAATTCAATTGATCATGTATGAAAAAGTCGTGGATACTGAGAACGCGTCTGCTCTTCACTTTCTCATATCGCTTCTTCTACAGTATGATTTCTCCGCAAAACTTTAACCAAAGGAATAGTCTTACTACGCAAGGCATGTTCCTTCCTGTCCAATATCTGAACTGATTCTTCTTTATAGGTAAGATTTTCTTGCAGTTTTACTGGTTGTGATTCCAAAACATGAGATGGATCTGAAATATATTTACGAAGCATGGAAACATGGAATACATCATGAATTCTGGACAATTCTGTTGTCAAAGCCAATCGATACGCAACTAGACCGATGCGTTCAACAATCTCATATGGGCTAATATGCCTCGGACTCAATTTACCTGGTTTACCAAATCTGATAACACCTTTCCATGGCAACAATCACAGGAAAACTCTATCTCCACATCAAATTTTCAAGGTTTCTTCTGCGTCTATCTACATAGTTCTTTTGTCTATCTTGGCTGTCTTTAACTTTTCTTTAATTATTTTTACTTTCTCAGCAGTAATCTAGACATATTCAGGACCCAATAACTTTCTTTTGCCAACTTTATCTCAATATACTAGAGTTCTGCATTTCCTACCATACAGTGCTTCAAAAGGAGCCATTTCTATATTCGAATGATAACTGTTATTATAAGCAAACTCCATCAAAGGAATATGAGTATCCCAATTCCCTTTAAATTGTAGTACACAAGCTCGTAACATGTCTTCTAAAGTCTGAATAGTTCTTTCTAACTGACCATCTGTCTGTGGATGAAAAGTTGTACTAAATGAAGTTTAGTACCAATAGCTTTCTGCAAGCTGTGCCAAAATTTAGAAGTGAAACGAAAATCTCTATCTGAAACAATAGAAACTGGTGTCCCATATAAACTGATTATCTCATCAACATATATTTTTGCCAATTTATCTAACGAGTAAGTGACTTTAATAGGCAAAAATCTAGTAGTCTTCGTCAATCTGTCTACAATGATCCATATGCCATCATGTCCACTCTAAGTCCGTGGAAGTCCAAATAGAAAATCTAAAGTAATGTGTTCCCATTTCCACTCAGGAATAGGCAACATTTGTAACAATCCTTCTATTTTCTGACGATCTGGTTTCACTTGCTGGCAGATGAGACATCTGGATACAAACTCAGCTATTTCTCTCTTCATTCCATGCCACCAATAGTGTTCTTTGAGTACACGATACATTTTTGTACTACCTGAATGCATCGCGTAAGCTAAACTATGTGCCTCTTCTAGAATTTCTCCCTTCAATTTCGAATCATCTGCAACACATAATCTGTTTCCCACAATTAAAGCTCCATCAGCTCGAATGGTATAATATTACTGTATGCTTTCCTTTATTAACTTCGTCTTTCAATTTGTTCAACACTGGATCTTGAGTTTGAGTTTTTCTAACTGTGTCAATCAAAGTAGGCCTCACTTAGAAGTTGGCAAACAATGTTCCTACATTGGTAACTGATAATTGGACATGAGAAGCTCTGAACTCACCAAAAAAAGATGAACATACTGCATTAGTTTGGGTCATAGGACTCGATATTTTCCGACTGAGAGCATTAACAACTACATTACCCTTCCCTGGATGATAATCAATCTTGCAATCGTAATCTTTTATCAGCTTGAACCAACTTCTTTGACTTAAGTTTAACTTTTTCTGATCGAAAATATACTTTAAGCTTTTATGATCTGTATATATTTGGCATCTCTCACTATACAAGTAATGTCTCCAAATTTTCAAGGCTAGGACAACTACAACTAGCTCTAAGTCATGTGTAGGATAACTCAGTTCATATTTCTTCAACTGCCTGGAAGCATACACTATAACTTTCCCATTCTACATCAAAATACAACCAAGACCCTGACGTGAAGCATCATTATATATCACAAACTCTTCACCGGGAGATGAAAGGGTAAGAACTGGAGCTGACACTAATCTATTCTTCAATTCGAGGAAACTTCTTTTGCAATTTTCATTTCAAACAAATTTAGCATTCTTCCTAGTCAAACTGGTCAAAGGAAGAGCAATTTTAGAAAATTCCTCTACAAAACTACAGTAATAACCTTCTAAGCCAAGAAAACTTCGGATTTCTGTCACATTAGTAGGCCTTTCCCATTTTACCACTACCTCTGTTTTTTGCGGGTCAACATAAATTCCCTCTGCTGATATGACATGTCCCAAAATACAACTTTATCAAGCCAGAATTCACATTTACTGAATTTAGCATACAACTGCTCACCACGTAGAGTTTGCAAGATGATTCTGAGATGCTCTCTGTGCTCATCATGATCTCGAGAGTATACTAAAATATCATCAATGAATACAATCACGAATTTGCCTAAATACGAGCGAAGAGATTCATCATATCCATAAATGCTGCTGGTGCGTTGGTCAACCTAAATGGTATCATAAGAAATTCAAAATGACCATATCTTGTCCTGAAAGTAGTTTTTGGCCCATCACTGTCCCTGATTTTAAGTTGATGATATCTAGAACACAAATCAATCTTTGAAAATACTGCAGCACCGCGAAGCTGATCGAACAGATCATCAATACGTGGCAAAGGATATTTATTGCAAATTGTCGCCTTGTTCAATTGTCTGTAATCTATGCACAGTCGCATGGTGCCATCTTTCTTTTTCACAAACGAAATTGGTGCTCTCCACGGAGATATACTAGGTGTGATGAAACTCTTGTCTACCAACCCTTGCAATTGAACCTTTAGCTCTTTCAATTCTGCTGGTGCCATTCTATAGGGTGTCCGTGAAATAGGTGCAGTTCTTGGAATCAGATCTATAGTGAATTCTATATCTCTGTCTGATAGTAAGCCTGGTAATTCTTCTGGAAATACATCAGGAAAGTCCTTGACCATTGGGATATCTTCAAGTTTTAGTTTGCTAACATCTGTATCAATTACATGAGCCAAATATGCATGGCAGCCCTTGTTGAGTAATCTTCTAGCATCAATAGCAGATATCACACAAGACGGTAAAATTCTGCACTGTCCATTGAATATAACTTCAGGTTGTCCTGGTTGTCTAAATACAACCTCTTTTCGAAAGCAATAAACTGAAGGTCGATTTGTTGCCAGAAAGTCCGTACCCAAGATAATATCGAAATCATGTATGTTAAGAGGTATTAAATTTTCCTTGAGCTCGTTCTCCTTTACCTTAATCCCACAATCTCAATATATATTATTTGCTAATAGTGATTCTCCTACTGGTGTATTCACTACCAAACAACTGCCTAAAAGTTCTAGCTTTTGATTCGCATATAAAGCAAATGCAAATGACATAAAGGAATGTGTAGATCTAGGATCAATCAAAATACGAGCATTTTTATCAAAAATAGACAACATACCCATGATAACATCTGGTGACTCCTCTACCGCCCGTTGAGTCATAGCAAAAACTTTGCCCTGGGTCTTCGGTCATCCTGCCTGCCCTTTTGATTTTGTACTACTACCGCTTGCGATATTAGACTGGGCCACACTGTTTGTACCTGCTCTGTTAGCTGAATCATCTCTCTAAGTCAGATTCTATCTTGTACTACCAGCACTCTGCTAAAGAAACATCCTTTGTGCCATGCCACCCACCTGGAATACAACTGGGCAATTCCTTTTTAGATGCCCTTCTTGGCCACAGCGATAGCAAACACCAAATTCCTTGAACTTTAAATACTCTCCAGGATGAAATCTTCCACATAATTGGCAAGAAGAAAATCTAGCACTAGTAGAACTCTCTCCCTATCTCGGAGTAAATGATCTCTGGAAAGAACCCTGAGTATAATTACGACTAGCCAATGGCTGCTGTATATTATTGGGACTGAATCTAGGACCCTGACTTTCTTGGAATCGAGATTTGAATTGACCTGAACTGGACACACCAAGTCGAAATCCTCTATTGTCCCTCCGTGGTGGTCTATAGCTAGAAGCACTTGCCATTCTCTGACTACCACTTGCTCTGAACATTGTTTGTTCTCTACCACTTGACCTATCAGAAATGCTCTTTTCTACTCTCAAAGCTGATTCCACTAATTTGTCAAAACATTTTAGCCTGCAGCTGTTACTACTGATCGGATCTCTTCCCTTAACCCATTTTCAATCCATTTGCATTTATCAATTTCGTTGCTTACCAGAACTTGGGCATACTTTGAAAGCTCAATAAATTTCACCCGATATTCTGCAACTGTCATCTGCCCTTGTACTAGTTTCAAAAATTCCTCCTGTCTTGCATCTTTATTAGACCGAGGATACTAGGCATCGTAAAAAATACGACGAAAATTTGTCCAAATAATGATGGAAGGGTCTAGCTATGTGCTCCATACCGACTGCCACCAATCATACGCACCCTCTTCTAATAAGAAGGTGGCAAGACACAGCTTCCAATTGTCTGAGTAGCCCATAATTGTCTGAGTAGCCCATAACGTCAAATACCCTCTCTATTTTGGTCTCTTTATCTTGGTCATCCATGCCTGCGCAACTGCAGGATCGACTGTGCCAGCGAACACTTTAGCCCCTAACTTTGTAGCCCTTTCAATACTAAAATCTCTGTCAGTATTATGTATAGCAGATGCAACGACAATAGCAATTCTTTCAACAACAATAGGATCAGTTTCAATCACATTTCCCTATCCTCGTTGTTCAGGAGGCTGGTGAACTGATTCATCTACTCTCTCGGGCTCTCTTAGTTCATCTTTTTCAGGAGCAATATGAGGTTGGGGCAACATATCTTGGAGCCTTCGAGTTTTGCCACCACGAGGCATGACTCACCTACAGTTATGCATGATATGCTAAACATCAGAATGTATGCATTTACAGTGCAAACCTATGAACTCTAATGCATGCTCTGATACCAATCTGACACACCCCGCCCCGTGTAACACCACTAGATCTGGACGTAGCATGCGTCGATGATAGATACCAACTAAAAGTCGAACCCACCATCAAGGCTACTACATATACAATATATCACTTTTTATATATCATTTTTCTAACAGAATTTCGGCATTATCTCCCCTGTAAACAGGACTAACCAACCTGTGATCAATTTCACACAAATTCCAAACTATAGCACAGCACAATAAAGAAAATCTGAAATCTCAACCTTTACCAAGAAATAAAATGAAATATACATATGGATACAAAATACATAGTCAGCCCCATAACTATCTATAAGTGATGCAAAATCACATCTAGACATCAACACGCGTCCCAAAACACTGACTACATGTTCTATGAAGTGAGTCATACTAACAAACTCTGTCGTATGACTCTGACTCCAAAATCAAGGCTCAACTCCAAAAGATGTCCAGATTCTCAACTGCTGCCTGATAAGGAAAAATATGAAAAAAATATATGAGTTGATAGCTCAGTGAGTGGAGAAATTCAAAATAAATATACTTTTTCATTTATACATTTTTATTGAAAATCAAATTCATATCATTTGATAATTCACAAGCTACCATCATATAATTATAGCAAAAAAGTGAAATATTCACATAATGTCATAAAATATCATCTTAAAATCATGATATAACATCATCTAATAACCATGCTATAATCTCATCACATCAAACGTGCTGAAAAATCCACAAAAAATGTACCATCTGACTGAAATATGTAATCCGCCTCTCGAGCTAAGAACTCTCGCCACGGGCCTTTGGCCCCCTTCGTGAACGAAAGTCGGTATCAAAGATCTCTCATAATCAATTCTAGAACATGACTAAAGTCCCTCTATGAACTATATGTACACAATCAAGACCAATGTCAGGTCAAGACTCTCCGTGTAGGATAGAACACAGCCAAGGCCCTTATGTGAACTAGAAGAAGTATATAGTCATGGGTACTTTTCTGGCCGATCTCAATATTACATGTCTCACATATCAAATAAATCTCAATATCACATGTCTTATATACCAAGTCACAAATGTACAATAAATAATCCTTGAAATTCCACATGTGTCATACTAAAAGAGATTTATGTAATAATCATAAAATTGAACACATAATTGCACATACCTTGATAATATATTTAATTTATAAATACTTTAAAAATATTTATATTTTTCCATTCACAGAACTATATACGCCAAAATCAACTCGATTGGTACGCTCTCCCGATATCCGTATCGCCGCCTGAAATATGATATCATTTTTAAATCAATAATTAACTATTTTAAGAAATATCATTAATTAAATAGGCTAGACCAAAACTTAATTATTTCACGTTTAGGCGATTTCTAAAGTCTCTTTAATTACTAAAACTAATTTTTCTTTCATTTTACCCAATTTCATAGTTTATTATACTTAACCTCTTCTACAAAATTAAATTAAATTTAATCTAACAATCTAACAACTATAAAATCAAACATAACTTTTCAATAAGTAACTTTTTATTTACCTTTCAAAATTGAGGAATTCAAGTCTAATAGGATAGAGTACTTAATTCCTATCACGTTGGCAAATTTTTTTTTTATTTTTTTCTTCTCTTCCTCTATTTTTTTTCCTTTCTCTTTTCTCTCTTCTTCTTTCTCTCTGGTTTGTTTCCTTCGTGTGTGTAATGCATGTGTTTGCTTTTAATTTGGTTTTGGGTTGTGTGTGTGTGTGTGTGCATGTGTGTATATATATATATATATATTTGTTTTGGGCATCCACCGCTTGCCGCTTTTGTCTTTTGTCCCCTTTTTTTTCTTTGTTTGATGTTTGACTTTTCTTTCTTTTTTTTTTTATTTTAAAGAAAACTTAATGTATTGCACTGCAAACACCTTCCCTTTGTGTTCTAAGTGGGTACAAATCTTGAGCAATCGGAGTGTGGAAAGAGTTTAAAGGTTTTGGGTCGTGATTGCTTGAGTGTACTGATAAGGTTGAGATTGGTATCCTGAACTCGAAATTCACTAATTGGATGTCGATTGTTCAACATTTGGTATCAGAGCGAGGTTGGGGTGGAATTTCTGACCAAAATCTGATTAGAAACGAAGCAGAAACTTTCCAAAAAAATCTGTTCGAATTTTTTTCAAAAAGGGACAAACCTGCAACCTCAATTTTTGGCCAATCCAGACGTCTTTTGGTAAAACAGAGGCTGGATTTGTGATCTGCAGTTAGAGGCTGTACTGGGTGGCTAACACGTAGGACTATTTCAGGCGACAACTTCTTCAGACATAATTTTTCTAACATGTTTTCTAATGATTTTGTGTTGTTAGTTTTCAGTTTCAGGATACGCAGAAAAAGTTGGACGATTTTGCCCTTGGATACTTGGCTATTGGTTGCTGGACATTCGTGTTAGCACATCTGCTGAACTTTATGATGAATAGTGGTGACCCTGAAGTAGCAGATTCGTATCTCTCGTAATTACGGACTCAGATAGGCCTGCTCTGATAAATTGACTGAAACCTTTACATTATCGTATTAGCAGATCATTATGTGGGGTGATCATTAGGATTGGGGGTTGTCATTACTTGACAACCATTGCTTGTGGTAGAAAATTCAGGAATTATCTACCCTATTTGAAGTGTTGAAGTTGATTGCAAGTTGGTAATTGATTTTGTGTTGCAATTGTCATATAGTCATTAGACTCGTTACGTGAGACTGCATTGTGTAAAAAATTGAATTTTTATTAATATACGTGTTGTATTGATTATCTTGTTAGAACGCCTGGATTTGACCCGTTCAAAAATTTTCTTAATCTAAGATCGCGAATCTCATGAAACCTTGTGAATGTAGAAAGGTGTATATTGCGGCCGTATGATTACTTTGTGTGACCTATCTGAGCATTTAGTTGTTCTATTTTTCCAAAAATGTCTTCACATTTCGAAATTGGTGTTTTCAATGGGAAAGAAGATTTTTCAATTTGGAAACAAAAGATGAAAGGGATTTTAGTTCAATAAAAAGTTTCAAAGGCCATAGATGGCAAATTTCTCGCAAATTTGACGAAAACACAAAAAGAGTAATACGATGAACTTGCTTACACTTCGATTATCTTCCATTTATCTGACACTGTTTTGAGAAAAGTTGGAAAACTGGATTTTACAAAAGAACTTTGAAAAAAGTTAAAGTATTTATATTTGTTTAAGTCCATTCCTAATAAGCTGTACTTGTTTGAAAGATTTTTCAGTTTTAAAATGGATCATTCAAAGGATTTTGATGACAATTTGGATATTTTAACAAACTTTTTCAAGACATTGTTAACTGTAATGAAAAGGTGTCTGAAACATATAAAGCAATTATCTTACTTAATTCCATGACTGGTTCATATAGAGAAGCTAAGAATGCAATTAAGTACGGCAGGGATACCCTAACACCCGAGATTGTCATAAACTCACTTAGGAGTAATGAAATGGAAATTAAGGCCTAAAATGAAGATAAGAGAAGTGGTGAGTTACACCTGATAAGGAGTAGGATGAAGTTTAAGTAAATGAACTTGGGTAGAGCTCAAAATAGTGGTGATTCAAGTAGTGACTCGAGTGATGAAGGTAATAAGAAGAAGGGCAATGAATGAGACAAATCTAGTGGTAGAAGGTGTTACAGTTGTGGTAAGTCTGTGCACTTTATTAGAGACTGTCCCAAGAAGAAGGATAAGTAGAAGAGTAATGTGAGAGGTAAGACGAATGTGGTTGAGGGGTTGAGTTATGACCCTAGTGAGGTTTATACATCTATGTGTCATCCTTTCTGCATGTATGTGATTGCCTAATTCTGTTGCATAATTATATGTTACATTTCAATTTTGTTTGATATGTGTGATTGCATGAATTTAAGGTAATTTGAATATTTGATGTAATTGTTTGCACGCATAGTGGGTCAGGATGCATTAGCAGTGTTGGATGTCTTTTGGTTAGGTGGAGTTTAGGTGCCTAAGGGTACATTGTGGTTTGTACTAGGGATGTGAGGTATGATATTTGGATCACAAGTGGAGATGTGATCAAATATCTAGAATCCTTTATCTGTGAAATAAACCCTGTACAGGTGGAGTGCGAGAGAGACACTTCTATCACTTCGGTAAGGTGGAGACCCATTATCCACGTAGGTTGGAAGAAGTGATGTGGTGACAGAGGATCATGCCAAGAGCTTAGATTCTATTGTGACTTGTCAGATAGACATGAGTTGAGTGATTATCTAGAGAGCATGGTGTGCGATGAGAAGAGATATGTGTTCTCGAGGTGGGAGTAACACGGAATGGGATAGGATAAGTGTAGTGAAATCTTCGTGGGGTCATTTATGCATTTGTTACATATGTGTTTGACCATGTACTGATTAACTTGGTATTAATCTTTCGGCTCTATGTGAACGAAATTTTTGAAAAGATTTGTGTATTATCTTATATAATTCTTCATCGCATGATTATTTGTTCACTGTGAATACTTGTTCCTACTTGGACGTTTCTTTGGACCTTAGCCTTGGTAAGTATATGGAGCAGGTATGATATGTGTTTTAGGTTCGAAACACGAGGTAAAGTCTGTGATACCAATTTTATTGGATTACCTTGATTGCGTAAGTATAAACTGTGTGTTTTATTTGCTTGCAAATTATTGGGCATTAAGGTGAAGATTGTTAGGTCTTGATATCCAATAATCCGAACGATGATGTTAAATCGATGTTGGATAAATTAAATATCAACACCCAAGATTAATGACTCGACCCTAAAATTATTTGGGTCATTGGAAGCAACCTAATTAATTAGTGTTGCTCATGGCCCAATTTCTACACACATTGGATGACTTATATATGTTGGCCCACTTAGGGTATTTGTATTGGGCTTGGCCCCATCACCTTAACATAACCTAACCTATATAAGTTGGCCTCTTTGTCTTTGGGTATCTTCTTGTTCTTTTCTAGCCTTTGTGGTACTATCTTTGTGGCTGCAAACACCTTCCCTTTGTGTCCTAAGTTGTACAAATCTTGAGCAATCGAAATGAGGAAAAGTTTAAAGGTTTTGGGTCGTGATTGCTTGTGTGTATTGATAAGGTTGAGATTGGTATCCTGAGCTTGAAATTTCACCAATTGGAAGTCGATTATTCGACACTTTCAATGCATTCCCCCCATGTAACTTTTTTTTCACTTTCATTCCTTGCTCCTTGAGCATGTCTTATTTTTTCAAATTCTTAACTTGAAAGGTAAGGATTTAATTTTGCTGTAATTACAAACTTTTGTTAATATTCGTGACATATTTGTTGAATTGAGATCAAGTCACACCAATTTCAAGTTTATAGTGAAATTCTATCTCAAGTTTGATGAATGTGCAATTTTTTATTTTTTTTTATTTTTTTTTGGTGATTGACAAGTTCAATGGTACTGAATATATCAAATTAATTGTTTGCAATATATAGAATCACATCCCCTTGAAGTTCCACTTCAATTGACACAACAAGGCATCATGGTATTTCTTTCGTATGCCTTAGTTTGACTCAGGTGTCGCTATCGCTTTATGGTGATTGACAAGTTCAATAGTACTGAATATATCAAATTAATTGTTTGCAATATATAGAATCACATCCCCTTGAAGTTCCACTTCAATTGACACAACAAGGCATCATGGTATTTCTTTCGTATGCCTTAGTTCGACTCAAGTGTCGCTATCGCTTTATGGTGGCACCATGCAAAGGTCACATTCATCACGCATCCATTGGGGTCTGTAACTCAATTTTCGTGTCTATAGAGATGCCTTCAAATACCAAGGGGTAGTGATTTGTATATAACTTTGAATCCTCTCTGATGGAGGTCTGCGACAAACACTAGGGAGAACCCATCATAGGAAGTTCCTCAGAAGCCGGACGTTAGGTTATATCGAGTAACAAAAATGAGAATTACAAAATAACTAAATGAGAGTGTTTAAATAGATTTCCATTGATTTTAATCTTGTTTTAGAACTAAAGCCATGAATCCAAGCTACATTGAAGAAATTGGGAAGGAAACAAGAAGATATTGATTCGAAGTTGATGTGGAACATATTGTTGAATGGATCGAAAAAGAATTGGATCAAAATGGGAAATATGTAGTAGTGCAGAGAGATTATCAGAGTTCCGGTTTGGACCTATAATACCATTCAGGAAAGAGAACGATGAAACGAATAGAACTTACGATTTTGCAGAGGCATGCGATGGATTTTGACCATCCGAATTTGTTTAGGACTTGAAAACACCTTAGTTTTGAAAAGGAGAAATCCTCATTTCGCGTTGCATAAGAAGTGAACGTGGAAGAGTTGAGAATCAACGGGCGGAATTGAAAAGGAGAATAAAAAGAGACAAAAAAGTACGGAATGAATACGGGAACACATGTGGGAACTAGAATTCCAAAATTGGTATCTGTGGTTGTAGTGGTACATAAGAGTGTACCTAAGCGTGTATACCCCTCTCACATGAGGTGTGGGATCCACCCGAATAAAAAACACTTATTCGGGTGGACCCCACATCCCATGTGAGGGGGTGTACTGTGTACACCCTTACGTACACCTCATTGTGTACCACTAGATTAATTCAATTGATATAGAGCATTCTCCTAGGGACATAATATACCATTAGAAAGGTTACCGAATCATGAGCAATATCGGATTCACATGGATGTGGTCAACAACTGACGCTAAATAAATTTGTTAATTTTTATTTTTTTCGCTTTTCCTCTATTCACACATGAAGCTTTTCCTTCAAAATTTGCCTTCCAATTTCCTATTATTTAGCCTTAATTCATTATTGCATTATTTTAACCCCCCCCTCTCTCTCTCTCTCTCTCTCCTGTGGCTGTTGCCTAAGGGGGGTATATTTAATTGAGATTTTTAAAGACTTTTGGAAATTTTTTTAAGTGGGTGACTTTTGTGGACTTTGTGAAATTTTAAGTAATTTTTATGGATTTGGTAGGAATTAGTAAAAGTTTTTCCTGGATTTGTGGAGACTTTTACTAAAAACTTTTAAAGACTTTTGAGGATTTTTTTTTAAAAAGGAAATATGCTTTTCACAGTGTTAAATGTGAGATATCGAGGAATATTTATGAGAATTCACAACATTCACTTAAAAACGAATCTTTGAAATTAGAGGGAGAGATAGAGATCAACTAGTGAAAATTTACCATAACCCGATTTAAAGAAAACTCATAGCAAAGATTCAAAGAATACCTAATTGGAAGAGATAGAGGAAAAACCTAGAGGGAAATAAGAATAGCATACTCTTTTTAGAAATCTCTCTATGAATGAGAGATTTTGGGAGAAAAATCCTATTTATATTTTCTATTAAAAAGTCTCTGAAAATCCAAGAAATTTTAAATTCCCTGAAAGTCCTTCTAAATTGAATACCCCAAAACTTGTAGAGACATCTAAAAAGTTTCAATTGAATACCCCGAAACTTTTTAAAAGTCTATAAAAGTCTCTATTGAATACACCCAAACTTTTAGAGAGTTTCTAAAAGTTTCAATTGAATACACCCAAACTTTTTAAATCTCTAAAAGTCTTTAAAAGTCTCGATTAAATACACCCCCCTAAAATTCCAGTACCAGAATAAACTAACTATCAACCGCGACCAGGGCATTATAGTCATTCAAAAAAGGTCCTTCCAAGAAATTCTGTAGCAAATGAAAAGGGCAACTCCGGCAATCTAACTCGAGAATTCATATTTAACGATAAAGAATGCAAATCGCAGAACTGTATGAATGAAAACGCAAAAGTGTGAAATCTCTGAATTGAAAAAGAATCTCCATTCAAAATGTAGTTCTTCAATTAGATGCACGCGCGCGAAAATTACAGTTGAAAAAATTGGACCTCCGAGTTTTTTGAAGCAGGCGGATGCTTTTTGAGGAAGAATTTGACTTTTCAAGTATGTTTTCTTTTGCAATGTGTGTTTTTTCCCCTTTTTAGGGTTTCTACTTGACGGGTGTTGTACCTTTAATTCAAATTTGGAAACTATTGATTTATGCTTTTGTTATGTTTTTATTGGAAGTACTGATTTGCTACTTTTGCATTTGTTCTCGAATACATTGTACAATTTTATTTTATTTTTTTTTATTTTTTTTTGGGGGTCTTTCGCGGGAATTCTGAAGGTGGGAAAAAATTACTAAGTGCATGTCCAATCTATACGATTAGACATGAGTGAACAATGCAGTGAATTTCAAACTTCTATTTGTTTCCGAATATTGCCCTAGTACATAACTTTGTAAATATTACAAGCATATAATGTTGGCTAGAAAAGGAATGATACATCCTATGTTTATACAAAGATACAAGGGGAAAAAAAAAATTGTTTCTCAACACCATTTCTAATTATTGTGTACACTAAATATCCTACTAGTAACATTTCAACAAAGATCACATATTTGAATTGGTGATTTGGTCAGGGTCAATTACAATTCCATGAATTTGCTGTCTTCGGCCCAAAATACTTATGCCAGATGTGGGAGCAGATGTTGCTCTTAGTTGTACATGAGGGGGGATTGGCGTATCATCTGAGTGACCGGAAATGCAGAGTGCTCCGGCATCATCTTGTTCCCAATATACCTCTACCATAATTCCTCTTGGATTTTCTGTAGATTCAGTTCCTGGAACCCCAACAAACCTCGCACCTACAGGTACCTGCGCATTAAGATAAAATTTACTTTCAAAATAATTAACTTACTTCTTTCATGGAAGCTCTGGTGGAAATTTAGGGCACAAACTCCGTTCGGGATACTAAATCTAGTTATAGTCAAAATTATCATCCTTGTCAAGTTCAAACTAAGGTGCAAGACTTGTCTGTTTGGAAGAGACTTCTAGCCGTTAGGGAAGCAGCAGAACCACGTATTTTGGAAACTGAGGCTGGGAAATATTTCCTTTTGGTTTGACAGTCGGAGCACTAACTCATAACTGTTCAACTTATGAAAGAGGGCAGCTTTGGATGTAGGTACGCTCAATACTTTACAGCTTAATTGTATGATCGAAGATATAATAAGAATTTCTCCTTATATTAAAGGCCATGACATAATCTACTGCAAACTAATTAGCAATGGAGCCCCTAGTGCTCTATGTTGGAAGTACTTGGGCAAAGGATAAATATCAAATCCTTGGACAAATAAATATGGAAGAAATATATGACTTTAAAGGACTCATTTTTCACATGGAGAACATGGCACGACTTATTGACATTAGATAGAAGAGGTGCAAATTATGATGAAAATTAGCATAACTTGTAAGTTCCGGTGGCAAAGTATGAATTAGTTGAACAAGTGCTATTATATGGCATTGTTGCTAAGGAAGTATGGAGGTTCTTTCCAAGGCCTCTATTAAATTAATTTGCAAACAATCTATATGGCCGTGCAGAGTACAATACCAGTTGGAGGAAATTCAATATTAGCAGAAGAATGATAGTTTCAAAGCAATGCTGTTGCCTTTTGGAGAGAAAGTAATGGGGTCACTGATTGGTGGCTAATACTGAGTATAAAGAAAGGCAGTTCAAGCTACTGTGCCCTCAAGAGCTAACTGGTTAAATCAAAAGAATTTTGCGCCCAGATATAAGGGGCTCCCAAGTTTAAGAGTGTAAATAATCGCCAAGGACACAAAGGGAGATTCAAGATTGCACAAGCACTGGAGCTCAAGGGTGAGGTTGTAGGTTTGTTAGTCTGCTCACTTAATTCGTTGTTGAATTTAGTAGTTTAGCTGATCTAAACTCATTTGTTCAACTAGGAGGTAAGGTCCACGTCCCCCTCTATGTAATAATCCTTTCTATCAATATCTGGGCAGGAGGGCAACCACTTGGCTTAGTTGAGTCAACCTAAAACTCGCCCAAGTTCAAGTGGATTTTCGGGCAAAAAAAAAATTAAAATTGTACCAACAAGAAAATTATTTATTTATTAAGTATTTTTTAGGCTTAGCTGGACACACTTACACTAGTATGAACTGAGTAATGCAAATATGCTTTACCTGAACTGAAATTCCTGAGTTTAGAGTCATAGTTGCAAAGCTTCCCTCAGACGCAGCACTTTCCAATTCAGCCTGTTTTACTATATTCAGAAAAACTTCTTCCAAAGTTGTAAGACCAAGTTGGATGTCTGCTATGCCGTATTCTTTCACTTTCTCTTGGAGCTCCTCAAAAAATTTCTGATAGAATTTTTATCCAAATAAGTACGTTAGTACGATAAATTTTTAAAACCCATTTTAATTGTGTCTCTTTTTATTTTTGAACCCTTTTTGCATTATTAACCTTTGAATTTTTCATTAAAATCATACATTAACGATTGAAATAAGGAACAGTTGACAAAGTGAGGGTTTTGTACCGTCAATAGCTTCTCTTTTTCATGAGGAATAACAAAAGTCAGGAAAGACTTGCTTTCCTCCTTAGGCATAACATTCAAATACTGCAAATAAAATTACATGTAAGAAACAGTTTATATGCTTCCGGGAATATTATAACTAGCTAATATTTGACTTACTGATTTAAAGAACTGTTTAACAGCTTCATGTTGAGTGGTATCAAACGCATCCCCTCTGTTTGGGGTACCATTAACATCCCCGGAAAAGCTTATAGTAGCAATGAAACCAGTTCCAAACCGCGACTTCAACCTTATTGAAGTTCCAATGCAGCGAAGCCTACCCTTTGCCATAATTCCTATCCTGTCACTTAAGATGTCAGCTTCTTCCATCGAATGAGTAGTTAGAATAATGGCACGCCCTTTTTTAGCCTCTTCAATTACATCCCACACGTGTCTTCTAGTTATTGGATCCATCCCAGTGGTCTACAGGTTCAAAGTAAAAACTCATATAAAATTGCAAGCAGAGAACCAATTAAAAATTATAAAAGAAGAATGAGAAATATTCTGTCTACCAACCGGTTCATCCAAAATGACCAACTTTGGTTCACCAATAAGGGCAATAGCAACACTAAGACGACGTCTCATTCCGCCACTATAGCTACCAGCTCTCATCTTGGCTGCCTCAGTAAGTTTTACTTCTGCTATTAATTTCTGCACAACCTATTATTTTGACAAAAAAACCCATATCTCAGACTTTTCACAAGTAAAAAGTTGTTTATTTTGTAAAGATCACTTAGGTTTGTACAGAACGTACCGACACAATGGAAGCAGGCGTCAGACCTTTGATACTGGCAAACAAGTGTAGGTGCTCTTGACCAGACAATGCATCCCAAAGAATATCAAACTGTCACCAAAAAGGAGTTCATCTCTGTTAATCGATCCAAATTATTCGATAGTGCATAAAGGATTTTCAAATCTCCCCTTCCCTTCATTTTGCACACTTTCTGACAAAGAATCTACATCTACATCTGACCATTAAAAAGTGAAAACTAAAGTATAGTTATAACATACAAAGACGGGATGGGGGGTTGGGAGTCACCTGAGGACAAACCCCTATCATCCTGCGAATGTTTGACATACCAGTGGAGCTTCGGATGGAATATCCATAAATTAATGCTGTTAAAAAAAAAAAAAAAAACATACTCCCGATTTTTTGTGACGTCATCCCAAAAAATTCAAAGGAAATTTATAAACCAAAAAAAAGATCTTTCCCTCTCCCCTAGTTTCTGGGGTTACTTGCGTACTTAAATAGACACACAAACACACAATTTTGTGTGTGAATTCTGTTCCGTACACAGATCTCAAATAAAGCAACTGGTTGCCTTTTTAAAGAAATTTTATGATAGAAAGGAGCCTTCACACTTATGTTATATGCACTATTGATCTATATTAACTCGGAGATTCAGTTCCCCAAAACTACTCTTACGGTACCATATTCCACAAGGTTTATTTTACCTTGAGAGCATGGTAAGGAGAGGTCCTCTTACATTTGCAGCACCCGATCTTTGTTGCTCCAGCGTAAGTTTTCACGAGACCACGTATTTGGACTGCAATTCGTGAATCTACACTACCGTCTGAAGCTTGCTGTTTCACTATGTTTTCCTCTTCAAGTACATCCTCGTCCTCTGGAATGGTGCTGTCCACGAGTGGTACTGAACTAAAGCAACTACATATGCTTCCTTCTCAAAGGAAAAAGGGCATGCCTAAGATATTAGCAGTTGGCAGTATCAACCAAATAACAGGATGAAATGACAGAAAATTATTGTATCGGATTTCAATACCTTCCACCTTGTTTCCCCCATTTCCGGTCCAGTACCCAGGACTCAGAAAATATAACACCGACTTTCTCACCCCAGATGTATTTGGAAAAATATTGTCAAAGTAGATGGCCAAAACAAACCAGAGAAAGGATACAGCTAAAAGCCATATGTAAATCTTGTTCTGTCAATCAACATAAAAAGTTTTGGAAGCAATTTAGTAAGAGGCAGTTGAATACTTAAGATAATCATCGAACAAATTTTAAGACAAAGATGCCATATTAAATAAGTTGGATTAGATGGTACTCAGCAGTATTAAAAGAGAAAAGGTTCACTATCCAATCTTGTTGAGAAATGTGTATCAGACATGCTTTGAGTTAATTTCTAAGACTAGTTAACTCGTAATGCATAAAAGGGAAATAGAATAGAAGCTTGATGGTTTGACGTACAATTGTTATGATGCAATCAGTATCATTTGGTGAACATTTTGTCCTCCCATTCCAGCTGACACCGGGATCTTGAGGAGTTGCAGTTGCATCAGAGAGCAATTCGAGACCTTTAGCAAAAAGATTTGGAGGAAAAAGTGACCACACAATTCGGTACGTGTTCGAGAAGTCATCGCTGTAAGGAAATCCAAATGCTGTCACGATCTGGAATAGTATGAAGAGAGATCTGTTATTATGAGTGGCATTCAGTACTTTGTAATTAAACATTTTTTGAAAAGAGAAACTTGCCTGAGTCATGGAACCAATAATAAAGCAAAAGAAACCTAACGTGCTGGACGAATCAGACTTGCTAATAAACGTAGACAGCATAAAGGCAAATGCAGTCTGATAACAGAAGCAAGAAACAAACCTCGTTATAATGACAATAACTGAATATGACGTACGTTTCATACTGGAGTAAGGAAACCTACCATACTCAATTGAAAGAGAAAGAACAAGAAGAACACAACAGCAAAACTGTTGTGCAAGAAAAAGTCAAACTGGAACATCATTCCAAATAAAACTGTGAAAAGTGAGGAAAGCAATGTGAGGATTCCCTCCCAAGTGAGCCACGATAACCAATAGGCAGTATCATAAAGACCCATCATTGTCATTGCCTGTTATCAAACATGTAAGTGAATAATTATTCAGGATTTTGCAATATGCTGGAACCATAGGAGTACTTATCTTCATTTTGAAATGGAGATTATTCTATACCTGGCGAAGTTTTAATTCTTTCTCCGTGGTCAAAGCAGAAATTTGAAGGACAAAAGCAAACATAGCAATTGCCAGGAAAAAGGTCGGTCCTGCTCTTTGCACAGCCGAAAAGATTTCAATAGCAGGATGGGCAAATTCCTTAAGACTGACAACCCAACTAAAGCTTGCATCTGAAGTGTATGCAGCCACAAAAAAGAGGGTGCATTGTAAGGAAACTCTCATCATGCTTTATATGATCCATCAGATCAGAGCATGTTGCGCTAAGCTTAAAAAGTTCACTTATAAGTTAATAAGTAAGTTTTAAAATAAATACTTTTATTGTTGAAACCTGAAGAAATTAATTTATCTAATATAAAATTATAGCTATCTGAAATTATAATGTGACAAAAATGAGGGGTGGGATAAGTGGGTAGTAGTTGTACGTCCTCCAAAATGTGTGATTAAAATTAATGTTTGAGTTTGAACATTAAAATATAAGAAAATTACAATGTTTTCCAAATATGGACAAGGTAAGAGTTGCTTTCAAAAAAGTAACTTTTTACTTAAATGTACAAAAAATATAAATTATCCGAACATGTTTGAAGACAAAAATTAACTTCATTTTTTTTTATAAGTGATGCAAAACATGCTCTAAAAGAAGAATTTCGGATGTCATACCTCCAATCAGAAATCTTGCGATTTCACGTTCTGCAGCAAGTTGAAGTGGAATTTGAAATTTAAAAGTAGGATCTTCAAAATTTCCTCGCTTAGCAAGTGGAGTAGAATTAGTCTGCAATCCATAGCTAATTACGGTAGCGTTTCTGTCCACTAAATGCAGAGCTCCAGGACAATGCATAGAATGGTTGGCAAGCCAATCATCAACTTCATTTCGCGTTTTGAATGACTGAACCTGCTCAAGGCATGATCATTTCCCATTCTTTCAGCAATACAGTTTTTTTATATTACAAGTTTTTACTTAGATAAAATGCTACTAACTTTATTCCTAAAAAAGGCATTGTCGAAAATTACAGATTTAGCTCCGATCAAAAAAGTAAACAACCAAATTTGTAATCACATAGAATTCCAAATATCTTCAGAAAAGTCTGAGTCCCATATTATATTTCTTATCCCCAGTTCGTTATTTTCTGCCATTATGATTGATTCATCATAATAATCAAAGAAAGGATATTGCATCATTTTACCTTTATACATCCAAACTGGAAACTGTAACTAGCCTTAAGTGGAACTTCAATAATGTTGCAGACCGGGGAAAGAAATATATAACAAAAACATAAGAAGGTAATTACCAAGTGACTGTACATAGTGGTGAATCAGCCTAAACAACTTAATTAAGCAATTTAATTTTGAGTAGAAAACATGAGTTTATGAAATGGAACTAATCAAGTTTCTCTGTGAACTACAGAAATTTTGGAATCAACAAATTCATTTTAAATACTAATATAATATTCTATAATTTATAAAACATTACCCTAACCAGATTCTGATTTTTGATTACTTCATTTACTATTTTTAATGGTTTCTACCCGTTGACTTCAAAATTCAATAGATTAAAATCAACAAGGAATTTAATTCCAACAGTAAAGCTATATTTACATTTTCTGCTTCATGTACTGCAGACAAAATATATAAGTCAATGCGTTTGCATGCAAACTGAACAATATAATGAACAAGATTGTACTTTTTTTTTCTTTTTTGCCCTTATCATGTGCTATGTAATCCTCCCTAACAAATATGCATAAGGCCCCGTTTGATTGCGAAGGAGGAAAAGGAAAAGGAATTCCATCTAAGTTGGAAAACAAATTATCACCATACCCATAAGAATTCGTTTTTCATGGAATTGGCCAAAAACGTGCTTTAAATGGTTGTACATAAGAATTTAAATTCCATTTCCACATACGAATCAAACAGTCAAAGTGGAAATTATTTTCGTTGGATGTGACATTTTCCATGAAAAATGTTGCGTTTCTCTGTGAACTACAGAAATTTTGGAATCAACAAATTCATTTTAAATACTAATATAATATTCTATAATTTATAAAACATTATCCTAACCAGATTCTGACTTTTGATTACTTCCTTTACTATTTTTAATGGTTTCTACCCGTTGACTTCAAAATTCAATAGATGAAAATCAACAAGGAATTTAATTCCAACAGTAAAGCTATATTTACATTTTCTGCTTCATGTACTGCAGACAAAATATATAAGTCAATGCGTTTGCATGCAAACTGGACAATATAATGAACAAGATTGTACTTTTTTTTTCTTTTTTGCCCTTATCATGTGCTATGTAATCCTCCCTAACAAATATACATAAGGCCCCGTTTGATTGCGAAGGAGGAAAAGGAAAAGGAATTCCATCTAAGTTGGAAAACAAATTATCACCATACCCATAAGAATTCGTTTTTCATGGAATTGGCCAAAAACGTGCTTTAAATGGTTGTACATAAGAATTTAAATTCCATTTCCACATAAGAATCAAACAGTCAAAGTGGAAATTATTTTCGTTGGATGTGACATTTTCCATGAAAAATGTTGTAATCAAATAGAGCCTAAGAGATTTTGCATCAAAACAAAGATAACACACATTAGGGCACACCCTTCTAACTCTCATCCAATCCTTTTTTAATTCAATTTGCTGTAATCAAAATTAAGTGAAAACTTCTTCAGAAAACTGCATTTTACTTACAAAACAAGAAAACAAAATTAAAAAATAGGGAAAAATTAAACCTTGTCAGAAGGAATACTCCGGCCGGGATTATTCTCTCGAATCCTTCTAACAATCTCCCCAATTCTAGCACTGTCATTCCCACTCCAAACAAAATCAAAGCATGGCAATTTAGAGTAGAATTTTTCCTCACAAGGTGGGATTGCGGGAAAGATCAACGGTTCAGGATCATTGATACTTTTGAAAGAAGAAGACGAGGAGTATCTCGAGTCGAATGCTTTTTGAATGCAGAAGATGATGAAGATGAAGAAGAGGGATGAGAAAAGCTGGAGAAATGTGGATCGCCTATTTCGCCATGAGAGGAGAAGATTCTTAAAGAGTAAAGCTTTGTACTGTTGGATTAAGAGAGGAAATCCTCTCCGCAATTCCATTTTGTTTAAGGTTTGGATTTGAGTTTTAAGAAATTTTTACTGTTTTGATATTGTTTTTTGTGAATTGCAGAGGTTTTTATAGGCAAAAATGGTGGGAGGCGCGGGTAATAAGATTTTGCAATTTGCCCCCTGGGGTTTTCTTAAATGGCAAAGGTGGCCACATTTTTGAATCTCGTTGTTTCTCGGAAATTTCCATGAGGGTTTGAGGAAGTTAACAAGAAAGTAGTTGTCAAATAAAATTATTTTTGGCATGGCAATTTAGAGTAGAATTTTTCCTCACAAGGTGGGATTGCGGGAAAGATCAACGGTTCAGGATCATTGATACTTTTGAAAGAAGAAGACGAGGAGTATCTCGAGTCGAATGCTTTTTGAATGCAGAAGATGATGAAGATGAAGAAGAGGGATGAGAAAAGCTGGAGAAATGTAGACCGCCTATTTCGCCATGAGAGGAGAAGATTCTTAAAGAGTAAAGCTTTGTACTGTTGGATTAAGAGAGGAAATCCTCTCCGCAATTCCATTTTGTTTAAGGTTCGGATTTGAGTTTTAAGAAAGTTTACTGTTTTGATATTGTTTTTTGTAAATTGCAGAGGTTTTTATAAGCAAAAATGGTGGGAGGCGCGGGTAATAAGATTTTGCAATTTGCCCCTGGGGTTTTGTTAAATGGCAAAGGTGGCCACAGTTTTGAATCTCGTTGTTTCTTGGAAATTTCCATGAGGGTTTGAGGAAGTTAACAAGCAAGTAGTTGTCAAATAAAATTATTTTTACACATGAATTCATAATTTTTTTCGAATAAAATAATTTTATACATGGATTTACTATTTCTTTCATACTTTTTAACATACATTTTTAAAAAATTATTTTTCATTTAAAATAATCTATCCCAAACAAACACTCAATACCTTAGTATTGTTTCGACTCTTAATCCTGTATCCTTTTTTGAGTAGACATTCACATCATTTTTCAGAATATCTTAGATACACATTTTACTAGACTAATATATTGCCACTATTTGGTTCCTATAAAAGTCAGATTATGATTAAAAAATGATAAAATGTATAATTAAAAAGTAGCTAAAAGTTGTGAATCATATAAAATGTGTTGTTAAAAAATAAATTTAAGAAAAAATTATTTTAAATAAATGAGGGCCAAATAGGGTTGATATGTCTTTTTGGCTTTAAGAATATTTTTTGGACCATCCGAAATTGATGAGTAGCATGTTAGATTATGCGTGGCTAAAAAGCAAAGTATATTTTGAAGTTACATATGCATTTCAATGGTCAAATGACAAATTGGTTATTTTATTTGGAAAATCTCATTTGTACAATATTTTCTTACAACATTGTTGACAATATGAGTAGGTGGCGAAAAGTGTTGGATGGAAAGAGAAACTACTTTTTTAAACTGTACTATGACAACGTGTCATATGTCACATTGTCAAAAATATTGTACATCGAACATGATTGATTTTATTTGGATTCGGTCAAGGGCAAATTTGACATTTTGATTTGGGTCAGCGGCGGTTATATTACCCCATGATTTTTATAGATGGCTATATAATTGAAAAGGGTTGGAGTGATTTCTTAATGAAGTGTGATAGATTAATTGATTTAATGACTTAATTCTAAGAAATTCTCAATCTTCGATATACAATAATATATAGGCATTGAAAACAACTTATATCTTAAAAAATGATCCCAATAAAGAAAAGTTTATTTCACTTTCACTTATATCTTAAAAAATGGACCCAATAAACAACTTATATCTTAAAAAATGATTTAATTTCACTTTCTTACCCAACGTTTCCGCAATTATTCTCTAAGAATCCATTAGCCGCTTACTCTCATTTGAAAACCCCCTAATAGTCATGGTCAGAAGTTAAATACTTTAAATTATTCTCATATTTTTCTTCATTTTTGTTGGCTTTTCCCCTCATTTTGTTTATTTTTCCATTTATTTAGTCAAATTTTTTTTGTTAAAAAAAAAAAAAAACTCAGCTTAGATTTGATTTAGCTAAAAAATTAAGTTGACGTCAACAGTTAATTTGAATCCCATAATATTGGGATTCACAAGTTTTTCACTCCATATATTTACCAACTTTTATCAAAATGTACTAAAAATTAAAACTTTAACAAAACTAAACACGAGCTTATATTGCTTTACTCCCCCCGTTTTCTCTTTATATCTTCTTTAGTTGGTGTGAGCATACCCACAGAAAAAAATGAATTAATCTATTTGTATAATGTTTATGTACAACATTGTTGACAATTTTGATTGTGAAAAAAGTGTTGGTTGAAAAGATGATTTTTTTTAAACTGACCAATGTTGTCAAAATTATTATACATCAAACATTGTTCTTAGTGAATAGATAATAATTGCAAAAGGATTGTGATGTATTAAAAAATAGTTTTACGTGTATGTATATAATGGGGTGCATAAAATAAAAATAATTGGTGACAATATATTATTGCAACAAATCGAGCTTCACTTGATTTCAATAGTCAACCAATGTAAATAATCAAGTAAATTTGACTTTTATTTATAAAGTTTTTAAATTCACATATTTATAATCATGTTGACATCATATGCTTTAAACTTGCTAAGGAAGTAACAATTTATTCCCCCAAAAAAAAAAAAAAATTGTTGAAGATTTTTGAGAAGAAAATCTTAAAAAATGAAGGAAGTTTTACGAGGAAAATCCTATGATTTAACATTTTGCCCTTGTTTGGTTTGGATAAAATTTTGTTTTCAATAGAATATGATAAAAGTTGATAAAATGTGTGGTTGAAAAATTGACAAAAGTTGTTAATCACATAAAATATATGGTAAAAACGAATTTATAAAAAATTTTGGATAAAAGTTTGTTTTCAATAGATTATGATAAAAATTGATAAAATGTGTATGGTTGAAAAATTGATAAAAGTTGTTAATCCCATAAAATACATGGTTAAAAATGAATTTATAAAAAAATGAGTTTTAAAAAATGAATACAAAACAAGGACTTCAACAGTCTTTTCATTGTATTTTCTCTCATATAAAACGAATTGAAATTGTTCATAACTGATAGTAGAATACGTTGTCATTTTAATAGTTACTTCATTGAATTTTCTCTCATACGAAACGAATTGAAACTGTTCATAACTGAAAGTAGAATACGCACACAATAATAGGGAAATTGAGTAATCAATTTAGTAGATTTTACAAGGGGATAAATTGACATGAATATGAAAGTGAGCAAATCTATGTTTGATCGTATGTCAATTGTATTTGATCAAAAGAACATTGGACGGACGAGTTCCACCTTCGTGTAAAATAGAGTCCTTTATTTTATACGTGAATTGTTTGACTTTAAACATTACAAACTGAGGGCTGATGGTGCGAGCGCATTTGCAGAAATGTACTAAAAATTTAATTTTTAACAAAATTAAACGCGAGCTTATATTGCTGTACGCCCCCCGCCCCCTCCTTTCTCTTTATATCTCCTTCAGTTGGTGTGAGCGCATTTGCAGAAAAATATGAATCAATCTATTTGTACAATATTTTTGTACAACATTATTGACAATTTTGATTGTGACAAAAAAAATGTTGGTTGAAAAAGATGAATTGTTCTTTAAACTGTGCAATGACAACATGTGGCATATTGTTAATAATATTGTCAAAATTATTGTATATCAAGTTCTTAGTGAATAGATAATATTTGCAAGAGGATTGTGATGTATTAAAAAATAGTTTTACATGTCTGTATATAATGGGGTGCGTAAAATAAAAATAATTGGTGACAATATATTACTGCAACAAATCATGCTTCACTTGATTTCAATAGTCATCCAATATAAATAATCAAATAAATTTGACTTTTATTCATATAATTTTTTTAATTCAAATATGTATAAACATGTTGACATCATATGCTTTAAACTTGCTAATGAAGTAACAATTTATTCAAAAAAAAAAAATTAAAAAAATGTAAATTTTGGAAAAGAAAATCTTAAAAAATGAAGGAAGTCTTACGTGGAAAATCCTAGGATTTAACATTTTGTCCTTGTTTGGTTTGGATGAAAATTTGTTTTCCAGTAGATTTTGATAAAAAATAATAAAATGTATGTGATTGAAAAATTAATAAAAGTTGTTAGTCCCATAAAATATATGATTAAAGTCTTTTCATTGTATTTTCTCTCTTACGAAACGAATTGAAACTATTCATAACGAAAAGTAGAACACGCGTACAATAATAGGAAAATTGAATAATCAATTTAGTAAATTTTACAAGGGGATATAAGTTGACATGAATATAAAAGCGATCAAAATCTATGTTTTGTTGTATGTCAATTGTATTTGACTAAAAGAACGTTGGACGGACGAGTTCCTCCTTCGTGTAAAATAGAGTCCTATATTTTATACGTGAATTGTTTGACTTTAAACATTACAAACTAATGGCTAATGGCATAGAAATTTGAAAATCAAGTGTAACATATTTTGATACGAATTTGTGATGACAAATAACATGGGCCCTAATTGTGAATTCTAATTTATTTTTCCTTTGACTAAATTAATTATTAATTGACTTCTAAATCGAAGATTGAAGGAAACTGTAAGTGTGACATTTTGATACAAATATGTGATGACAAATAACATGGGGCCCTAATTGTGAATTCTAATTTATTTTTCCTTTGACTAAATTAATTATTAATTGAGTTCTAAATCGAATATTGAAGGAAACTGTGAACTCTTTTCTAGGAAATAGATGCACACGACGTGCGCGCACACATATATATATTTTTAAGAGGTAGAATATGCTTCAACATCTTCCTTAAAAAGATTATTAAATGTCAAATTGATTTGTAGATAATAAATATATACACCATTCTAAGGAGAAAAACAAAATAGATGAAGAGAGGAAAGAAATCCTTTAATTTTAAATCTGTAATTCCTTTTATGATTATTTCTTTCATGTGGAGTGACAAAGAAAAAAATACCATAATATTAATATATAATAAGAATTCATAGAGGTTAGACAAATGAATTAACAAAAACT